CAGAAAATATGCACAAATAATTTTTCTTTTTTAAAAAGATTTTATTTATTTATTTGACAGAGAGAGACACAGCGAGAGAGGGAACACAAGCAGGGGGGAGTGGGAGAGGGAGAAGCAGGCCTCCCGCCTAGCCGGGAGCCCGATGTGGGGCTCAATCCCAGGACCCTGGGATCACGACCTGAGCCCAAGGCAGAGGCTCAACGACTGAGCCACCCAGGCGTCCTTTTCTTTCTTTCTTTTTTTTTTTTTTTAAGATTTTATTTATTTATTTGCCAGAGAGAGAGAGTGTACAAGTAGGGGGAGCGGCAGGCAGAGGGAGAAGCAGGCTCCCCACAGAGCAAGGAGCCTGATACGGGACTCAATTCCAGGACCCTGGGATCATGACCTGAGCCAAAGGCAGACGCTTAACCGACTGAGCCACCCAGGCACCCAGTTTTTCTTTTTCTATGACTAGAATGGGTTCATGAAAGGAGATCAAGGAGATGGTACTTTCTAGGATCAATATCTATTCCTTGTAAAAGGTGTGCATTTAGGACTAGAAAGCTTGACACTGTGTCATGTCAGAGGTGAAAAAACCTGGTAGAGTTATTTTGGTGAGATTTAAGAAATGTCTTTTCTAGAGAATTTTGAGGTGGATCTAATTTTTGGGATACAGATAATGACATTTTTTCAACATAGTTGGGAATAATGTCTTACTCCATGAGTTGAATGTGTTCATTAATATGTATAATAATTTCTTTTTTTAAGAAGATTTTATTTATTTGGGGGGGAGAGAGAGAGAGAACGTGCGCACAAGCATGTGCTCATGTGGGAGGAGGGGCAGAGGAAGAGGGAGAAGCAGACTCCCCACTGAGCAGGGAGCCTGACAAGGGGCTCAATCCCAGAACCCTAGGATCATGACCTGAGCCAAAGGCAGATGCTTCACTGAGCCCCCCAGGCGCCCCAATATGTGTAATAATTTCACAACTATCATCTAACATATGAAAGTATCATAAGAGGCTGTCTATTGGATTGTAGTAGGACATTTTATAAGTCTATCATTAACTTTTATTTTTTTGCTGACTGTAGATCTCATACTCATAAAGCTCTGAGTAAAATATATGGTCAGTTCAGTCTGATTGCCTTGCAACTTTTGGCCAGTTTTTCAGAGACTATTTTGAAATGTACTTTTTAAATTGATTTTGGACTCCATCAACAATGAAATTGTTGTCCAATCTGAGAGATTTTACAAGGTTTCTATGTTATTTGGCTTAAGTGGGTGTCTGTCACTATGATGGACAAGGATATAAGGAATGCAGTATTTTTACTTTGAATCAGGATAGAGTAACTGCATTAGACTTGCCTTTCTGCCACAGAAGAGTATAAAACTAGACAAACTACTTAGAGCAACTATTTTCAGGCATCAATAAATAAACAGCACATGATTGTCATACTTGAGAACAAAACACACATGGTAAACTCCATAATTAGGGAGGTGAAACTCAAGTAAAGTAGTGGCCTTTCTGAGATGAAGATAGTGTTATCAGAGGTCAAAGTTACTGAAGTGGCTGGAATTTTGCAGGTTAGAATACCTGAGCTGTAGTGTGTGTGTGTGTGTGTGCATGCATGTGCACGTGTTGGGGTGGAGGGACACAAATGTGCCAGGCAAGTTTGCCTGCTGCAGGAGGAAGGCTGAAGAGTGATACTAAAAATCATGCAGTGCTAAGAGACATTGGATTTCCAGCCCAGCCCAAGAGCAGCAACTTCACTAATACTTTGGGCACTTAATTGAGAATCCAGAATCAAGCCCTAAGAGAAAGAACCATGCAAAAAAGTAAGAGGCACATGCTAGGGCCGAGTATAAAACCAAAATGGACACATGCTGCTAATAATAGTCCCAAGGCTAACCTAACAAAAGGACCCACCAGTAATTAATTTGCATAATGCACAGATGTAATACCCTTTAAAGGAAGACAACATAATCCAGACTCCCTATAATGTATTACCTACAATTAGCTAACATACAATTATTTATTATCAAATGTACAAAGAGATAGGAAAATGTGAACCAGAAGAGAGAAGTAGTCTATAAAAAAATTTCTGTGAGATTACCCAGATTTGGGGATTAGGAAAAAAAAATTAAGTAACATTCATTATTATTTTCAAGGACTTAAAGGAAGACATAGTCATAATGAATGAACAGATAAGGAATGTCAGTTTAGGGGAGGATCTCTGTGATCACTGAAGAGCTGGCTGTGTGGGCAGGAAGTCTTCACTGTATGGTGGCCCAGTGCGGGGACCCGGGAGGCTCGGTGTAACTCTGCACAGGAGTTCTGCACGCTCGGCCAGGGCTCCTTATGCTCATTGCCCCGCCTGCTGCCCAGAGACAGGACTGAGGCCTGGTCAACTGTCTCCTCGCCGGAGCCATGAACCAGTCCCGTGCTGGCGCCCGCCTGAGCATCGTGCTGGGACACCTTGGCCAGTGTTTGGCCAGGGCTGGTGTAACTCACCCCACTTCAGGGGCTGTTTCTCCTAACAGTTTCCATCCTCCACAATTCCAGTATACTCGGGATAATAACGTTCTAAGCCTAGAACAGAAACAATTTTATGAAGAAAATGGGTTTCTTGTCATTAAAAATTTGGTATCTGATGCTGATATTAAACGCTTTAGGAGCAAGTTTGAAAGGCTCTGCCAAGGGGAGGTGAAACCAGAGCAAATAATGATAATGAGAGATGTGTCCATTGCAAAATCAGAATATATGCCAAGTGAAAAGACAGTTTCAAAGGTCCAAGATTTTCAAGAAGACAAGGAACTCTTCAGATACTGCACTCTCCCTGAGATTCTGAAATATGTGGAGGGCTTCACTGGACCCAATATTATGGCCATGCATACAATGCTGATAAACAAACCTCCAGATTGTGGTAAAGGGCTCTTATTTGTTATGGAGAAGCCAAAAAAAAAAAAAAAAAAGAGAGAGAGAGAAAAAGAAAAAAAAATTTAGGGTGTTCTAACTATACCTGTGTGTATAACTGTTAAACTTTGATAAATAAATATATATGTCTTTTAAAAAAAAAAAGGAATGTCAGTGTGTAAGTGAAACTTTTAAAGGAAAAGTTATCTGCCCCTCCCCTCTCTCACACAGGCACTCCTGCTCTCTCTCTCTCAAGTAAATAAATATATCTTTTTAAAAAATATTCATTCTTAACTTTTTTTTATCTACAGTACCTCAAGTTGTCTGAGAATGTTAAAGTAAGTAAAAGATTTCTTCTCCACTTTTGTGAGAGAATAGATTTGTAGTTTTACAAAATCAGTTCTGGGTTGGTTTGAGTGAAATTATACCTTGTGAAATTCAAGAAAGGAAACCTTTTGTAGATGGAGCTGGGAGGCCAGAAAGGGGAGCTCGCAGGCCCCATTGCAACCCTCTGCAGACCGAAAAGGAAGAGATGATCTTGCATTCCCAACAGGAAGAAACCTACTTCACTATCCCAGTAGGAAAAAGGAGGATTTTCTCCTTGCCCAGTAAAGGCCCAGCCAATGAAAAACTGTCACAACTCAGCCAATGAAAAGCCATTACACTTCAAAGCCCCAGTTTACTCCAATGGACTTCTTGTTTATAACAGCTCCTCCCAACTCTCCCCTTTCCTATATAGAAGAGTGGTACTCTCCTTGGTCTCTGGACTTGTCTATGGCTTTTGCTATAGCTCTTTTGTTCCAAATTGCAATTCCTGAATAAACACAATTTGCTGGAAAAATAATAAGCTCTTTTACTTTCAAGGTCAACAACCTCATGGCAAAGGAAGAAATGTAGACAGATCAAGTCTCTAGAATAGAATACAGCCATGTTACTTCATTTGTGTGCCTTGCTGGACCACATCATCATTTAAATCAGCCTTGCTGTAGAGCACAGGCTTGAGTGAGGCAAATGGGGTACAACACAAGAACAGCCATAGGAACTTTTCTTTTTTTCTTTCCTTTTTTTTTTTTTAAGTAATCTGTATGCCCAAGGTGGGGCTCAAACTCACCACCCTGAGATCAAGAGTTGAATGCTCTACTAGCTGAGCCAGCCAAGCACTCCCAGACCTTTCTTGCAAGCTCATAGCTACTGCATGGTGTTCATGAGGAAAACGCAGAATCAAGTACTTCTGGCATTTTAAGGAATTCCTGTAGAAATTCTTACCACATCCTTTAATCAATTCTATAATACTCTGATTCTGTTCAAATGGTTCACTTTCAGTGTAGGGAAAACCCAAAGATTCCTGTGGGAGCCTCTGCCATTATTTGTGCAGCCTTACGTATGAACAAAATCTTTGTAATGACTATAAAGCCACCTCATTTTAACTTTTACTCCTTAGTCCTAGTTTTGTTCTCTGATGCAATGGAAAAATGGTCTGACCCTTCAGACCAAACCTCCAAAATGTGCAGATACACATTGTCTTCCCATGAGCCTCTGCTTCTTCAGAGTCATCTTCTCCAGAACTCCTCAACTTTCCCTCATTTTTTTTTTTTTTTAGATTTTATTTATTTATTTATTTGACAGAGAGAGACACAGCGAGAGAGGCAACACAAGCAGGGGGTGCCGAAGGCAGGTGCTTAACGATTGAGTCATCCAGGCACTCTCCTCATTTCGCAATCATCTTACTTTTCACCCCTCTTTCATGTAAGTTCATCAATGTTCCTCATGAAAAGTGACCCCAGATGTGTCCAAGCAAAAATTTTAAGGTTTTGGTACGGTGAATTTCTAGGGTAAAGTGACATTCTGCTTTTTGGACTGCTCACCTCATCCAGCCACCATCCCCTCGTCCCAGCCACCAATTGCATTTGAAGTCTCTCATTTTCCAATGGGACAGACTAAGGCGTAAAACTAGGATTAACCCACAGGGAGGGCAGCGACCCGTCGCCACTTCCGGGGTCGAGCGGAGGATGGCGACGCCTCCGCTGCGGAAGGAGGAGTTAGGGGCGGAGCCGCGTTTGCGTGCCGCCTGAACGGGCAGGCGGACTTTGCGCATGCTCGCACGACGGCGTCTCCAACTCCGCTTCAGGTGGCGCTTCGCTCGTGCTGTTCCCCAGTCGGGAGGCTGCGTTTAGAGTTGCCGAAAGATTGGGCGTTGGGCAGGTAAGTGCCGCTTCTCCTGTTCATCAGTCATTGCCAGCGTTCCAAAGTAGAACCTGAAGGGCTGTGCTAGGATTCACCCATGTTCTGCTGATATTTTCTCCTGATGTTCTGAAACCTTTATTTCTGGGAAAGAGGCGGAAGGGGTGTGAAGCTATGGTGGTTACCGTGGCAACTGCATAGCACCGACTTAGTTTTTGAGAATTTGGGAAGGGAGAGCTTCTTCTGTAAGGGCTCTTTAAAATGTGCGTCGGATGCAGATTTAGGTGTTAACTTCAAACCCATGCTCCTAAACCACAGCATTTGATTTTAAAAGGTGTATTCTGGCTATAACGTGGAATAGCAGAATTTAAGGCGGGTTAACTAGTTGGAAAGCTGATTCAGTGATGGAGACACAGTTTGAAGATGTCCTGAACTAGGGTAGTAGTGGTGTAGGACTGCGGAGAAGAGGGAAAATTGGAGAAATTCCAGCAGGTAGTATCAGCAGGACCTAATAATTGACTGGATATGAGGGAAGAGGGACAAGGGCCCTGAGCATCTTGAGGATTAAGTCCACACTTAGCTGGGTATATGGCTCTCTTTCTAGATTCTTTTCCCGTCATCAGTCTGTCTTCTGACCCCCTACTCCACGCAGACCCAAGACTCTGTTCATGCCAAGTAGTTTGATGTTCTAGTTTCTAGCATATTGTCTTCACCTTTCTTGCGACGTTGGGTCAGATTATATAATTTAATTAAGTCCCTCAGTTTTTTCAACATGAAAATGGAAGAAAATAATAGTACTTTCCTCAGGATTTTTATAAGGATTAAATGAGATAATTTATATGCTTGGTGTATAGAAAGGGACAATATATATTTACCACTGCTCCTATTATTGTGCTTGTATTGCTTTATTATTATGAGTCATTTTGCTGTTTCTTCCTCTAGACTTGAGTTGTGTTTTTTTTTTTAATTAAGGAGCATTACCTTATCTATCTTTGTATGTTCTTGTAACATAGGAGTAAAGATTAAAAAATTTTTTTGAATGGATCATTTATTTTGGCTTCTGCTGACATAATTTTATTTCTTACTTTAAAGGAGCTACCTGATAGAATTGATTTTTATTGATCGGACGTTATTTACTAGATAAAAAGATGGCAGTTTTTCTGTATAACTAAGAAGACTGTGAGATAAGATGTGCAGAAAGTAACCGATACTCTCAGTTTGGAACAGGTATGAGTGATTTCAGTGAAGAATTGATAAGGCCCAAGACAGAGGATGACCAGGAGGAATCATGTTTATTCTCTGGTACAGGAATGTCTTTTCCTTGGCTCCAAAAGCATATAGGGACTGTGGGTAAGTAAAATAATGTACAGCCATTTTAACTTTAATGCAAGGAGATGATAAGGTTCAATATGGGTACAGAGTGAATAACCAGGCTGATTTATTCAGTTTTCAGAATGGGACTGTATGAGGGTTTTTGAAGCTGTAAGCAAAAAAATCATAAAAAGAATAGATCTTTTTTGCTATTTTTCGTTTGAACTAATAACAGTCTGTATTGTGGTAGATACACTTCTTTTTTCCTCTAGCAATACTTACTAGGCACTTATATGCCTAGCATTGGCTAAATATTGGGGATACATAGGTGAAGAAAATATGGCCATTGAGGAGTACATATGTAGGAAGTGTTTTTAAGAAGTTTCTGTTGAGGGCGCCTGGGGGGCGCAGTCAGTTAAGCGTCTGCCTTCGGCTCAGGTCATGATCCCAGGGTCCTGGTATTGAGTCCCTCATAGGGCTCCTTGCTCCGCGGGAAGCCTGCTTCTCCCCCTGCTTGCCACTCCCCCTGTTTGTGCTCTCTCTTGCTCTCTCTCTGACAAATAAATAAATAAAATCTTAAAAAACAAAAGTTATTTATATTGAATTGCATTGAAATTATTCCTTTTTTTTTTTTTAAAGGTTTTATTTATTTATCTGACAGAGGGAGAGAGAGAGCACAAGTAGGCAGACAGGCAGGCAGAGGGAGAGGGAGAAGCAGGCTCCCCGCCTAGCAGGGAGCCCGATGTGGGGCTCAATCCCAGGACGCTGGGATCATGACCTGAGCAGAAGGCAGACGCTTAACCGACTGAGCCACCCAGGCGCCCCGCATTGAAATTATTACTAACAGAATTGATCTGTAATAAGATTTCAAAAAAAAGAGTATTTTCCCCATATACATATAAATATAAGCAAGTAAATATAAACAAGAATTTCTGTGGGATATATTTCCTGTAAGAATATATAAAAGAAGTGGTTATCTGTAAATGGGCATGTTGGATGGTGTAGTTCTGGGAATATATTAGAACTGACGCTTATTGCCTTCAAATCCATCTCTCTTAACCTAGCCATCTTTCCCCTTGACTGAGATTCTTTAGCTCCTAGAACTTGCTCCTATTTCTTTATCTTTTAGTTTAAATATTATCTCATTTAATCATCTCAGGAAATTAATCCTCAAATCCATGTGCTGGGCGTTTTAGAGATGAGGGAAATGAATTTCAAAGAAATTAAACTCTAAGGGTTGGTATCAGGAGTTAAACCCAGGTCTGTTGGATCTCAGAGCTTATACTTCCAATACCTGAAATATATTTTTAAAAATGAGATAATATATGTGAAGTTCCTAGCACAGAGCCTCATGCATAGCAAGTGTTGCAAAAATAAGTTTCTTTCCTCTCATTTTATTTTTGCTAACGAATGCACATGGTTTAAACATGGTTTGAATGGATGGCACTTAAGAGGGAGTGCTATTTCCGCCCATTGTAGGGAACTAGTAACTAAAGTTCCTGCTAGCTAAGACATGCTTGGGCATGTTTCGGTCATCAGTGTTCTATACAGAGCTTGTGTCAGTCTGAAAGCAGATAGGTATAAGACCAGAATTTACGTGCTTACAAATGTTTCATAAGTTATGGGTAGCCTGTTAAACCCACAATACTTCATGTCTGCAATGAGAAAATAATTTCAGGTAATATTGACATTGTAGTAATAAATAACCGTAATAGGAAAACAGAATTGCCTAGCAATTTTTCTTTTCCTAGTAGATATCTTTCAGCGTTCTGAAGGGTATACCCCCTAGAATAAAAACTTTGAAGGCAGGGGCCAATCTGGATTAAAACTGTATGTTGAGTACCTAGAAAAGTACTTGGCTCAAAATAGTGCTCAAAAAATATTTGTTGAGGGCGCCTGGGTGGCTCAGTCAGTTAAGTGTCTGCCTTCGGCTCAGGTCATGATCCCGGGGTCCTGGGATCGAGTCCCACATGCCCGCTTTTCCCTCTGCTGCTCCCCCTGCTTGTGCTCGCTCACTCTCTCTGTCAAATAAATAAGTAAAATCTTAAAAAAATATATTTGTTGACTGACAAGTTTCCACATTCTTTCAAGGGCTTTAGAGATGGGTTGATGGCACTGGTTCTTTATTTTACCTCATTCCATGTCAAAATTTCTTTTCCTAGGCAATTACTTTTGAAAGTGTATCAGCAACAAATAAGATGAGCTTTTGCTCATAAAAGAATGAAGTGAGAGATATTCCTGAGGTAACTAGGCTAAGTTGGAAGACAGAAGGGGAATTTTACAAGGATTTAAGGACAGTAAAGTCCAATTTCCAGTCTGAGCCGTGAAAACTTGAGATAGGTGGGAGCTTGGCCTGAGGTCAGTCCTCCTTTATGTGAATAAATGAGGTGTTAGAAAAGAGGTGTTTTGTCAGTTTTCTAGACTACCTCCTTGGTGTTGCTGCTGGTCCTGGGCAACTTGTATGTAAATCTTGCTAAGTGCAGCTTCTTATTCAGAGAGCTGGGCGGGCATAGTATTTTGCATTCCTGATAAGATCTCCAGTGATCCTAAAGGCTTTTGTTTCCAGGACCATACTGAATAGCAAGAATCAGAATCCCCAGGTGATCTGTATTTTTTAGTTTTACTTTGAGAAGACTAGTGTAGAGCAGTAGTCTTCAAACTTGTTTTGCTTGCTTTTCCTTTTTTTTTTTTTAATTAGGTATTGCCTTACATGGTTTTAAGATGCCATCTAAAAATTGTATTGGAAATTTAATAGTTGCAAAAGATAAAATTCCAACATAGGTTGGCATTTTTAAATAAAATTAGTTTATTACTTTTACAAATATATCCAGTGGATTCTAAATAGCATAGGAATGTGATATGCCTTTCATCATCCATTTTAAAAATATTTATGAATAAGATCTTAATTGATGGAGACTTTATACTGTTATTTTCCTTTCATACTTTTATCTTTGCAATAAAACTATCTACATTCAATTATTTTTTTGTTAATATTCTGAAGGGCTTTATTAAAATTCTGTCTCGAGTGAGACATCTTAATTAACAGTTGTACACAGCTGATGAAAATAACGTAAGTATTAAAAGTTGTGTTAAAATTTAATTAAAAGTAAATTTTTATTTAATAAAATAAATAAGGTTATCACTTTTTCCACTTATTTCATACATCTGTGAAGGCATGTTATGTATTTCCAGAATGAGAAAAGATTTAGCTTCAGTTCTGTTTTGTTTTCATTGTGATGTAATTTTGAGAAACCTTAGTTATATAAGTAAGTAGATGACACTGGATAGAGTTTAATTATAGCAGTGTATCAGGTTTTTGAATTCTTGAATCACTCATGAAGAAATTGCATAGTGATCTATTATAAAGAATTATTAGGTCCTTCCACACTTTTTTTTTAAAAGATTATTTATTTGAGAGAGAGAGCGTGTGTCAGCTGTGGTAGGGGGAAGGAGAGGGAGAGAGAGAATCCCAAGCCGACTCCTCACTGAGCACAGAGCTGGACATGGAAGCGTTTGTTTCAAGTGAAGCTAGCTTTGATATTGTGATGGGCTGAGTAAGTAATAACTACTGTTCCACTCGTTAAAACTTCTGCTTATCAGGGTGCCTGGGTGGCTCAGTGGGTTAAGTGGCTCAGTGGGTTAGGCAAATGCCTTCGGCCCAGGTCATGATCTTGGGGTCCAGGGATTGATCCCTGCATTGGAGCCCTGCATCCTTGGGCTCCCTGCTCAGCGGGGAGCCTGCCTCTCCCTCTCCCCCTGCCCCTCGTGCCCTGCTCCTGTGCACACTCTCTCCTGCATGCTCTCTCTCTCTCTCTCTTTCTCTCTATGAAATAAATAAATCTTTGGGGAAGAAAAAAGACTACTGGAAATAACAAGGGAAAGAACTCTGTAAAAAAAAAAACGTGCTTATCAAAAATCAGTTTTTTAAACTTGAATTGCAATCACTATGGGTAAAGACTCTTCTCTTTATAATCTATAGCAACTGGAGGGAAAAAGGAGAAGGATTTTGCTCAGACAACAAATGCTTGTTTGAGCTTTATCCAAGAAGCGCTGCTGAAGCACCAGTGGCAGCAAGCCGCCGAATTCATGCACAGTTACTTCCAGATCTTGGAAGATTCGGATAGCCACAAGAGGCAGGCGGCCCCCGAGGTAAGTGTCGGGCGAGTCAGCTGGAGGCCGTCACAGATAGAGGAGTGTTTCTGCCTGTGGAGCTCCACCCTGAAGAGCTTTTGCAGAATCTCAAATTGATTTTCTAAAAGCTACTAAAAGTAGTTTTGGGTGGAGAGTTTGTATTGGGATGTTGTTTCTCGGACTTCTTTTTACTTGTAAGGATTTTAAAGGAAACTCAAAATAGTTTGAACTCTCGGATTCCCCACTATTCCTTCCTTCCTTCCTTCCTTCCAGTAATTCTTCCTTCTTTCTCCATTTCATTATTTTCCCCTCCCTATAGGATATTTCCTATCCTACAAACATGTTATTTCTTCCATCTTAAAATCGTCTCTTGACCCCCACTTGCTCCACAGGCGTGTCCCAGTTTTCCACTTCCGCTTTCAGCAGAAGTCCTTGAAAGAATGTGTATACTCGTTCTCTCTAAACCCTCTCCGGTTAGGGTCCCCCGACCACCAGCATGACCATTTCTTCCAAATTACTTTGTCAAGATCAATGGTGCGCAGTTCTCAGTGCTCGTATAACTTGCTCTGTCAGCAGGATTTGAGACAGTAGATCACTGCCTCCTGTGTGATAAACTGTCTTCATCTGGCTTCCAGGACACTACAGTCTCTTGGTTTTCTCTCGCCTCACTGGCCTTCCACAGCCTCCTTCTGTGAAGGCTCCTCTTCTCCCTGGCCTTTTGACTTGGCAGTTCCCCAGAACTCAGGCCTTAGTCCTCGTCCTTATTTGAACTCACTCCTGATGAGCCCATTCAGTTTCATGGCTTTAAATTTAGCCTTAAATGGATGATTCCCATTTGTATATCTGTGACCCTGACGTCACTTCTCGTCTGTGTTCCTGTTTCCAGCTGTCTATTCCACATCACCGCTCGGGTATCTAACAGCCCTCTCACACTAACATATCTAAAATGGATCTTCTGGGGCTCCTGGGTGGCTCAGTCGGTTAAGCGGCTGCCTTCGGCTTGGGTCATGATCCCAGGGCCCTGGGATTGAGCCCTGCATCGGACTTTCTGCTCAGTGGGGAACCTGCTTCTCCCTCTCTGTCTGCCTGCCTCTCTGCCTACTTGTGATCTTTCTCTCTCTGTCAAATAAATAAATAAAATCTTTAAAAAAAATAAAATGAATCTTCTGATCTTTACCATCAAACCTAATTGTCCTCAACTCAGGTGACGGTTATTTTTTTTATTTTTATTTTTATTTTATTTTTTTAAATTTTATTATGTTATGTTAATCACTATACATGACATCAGTAGTTTTTGATGTAGTGTTCCATGATTCATTGTTTGCGTATAATACCCAGTGCTGGGCACCTGGGTGGCTCAGTTGTTTGGGCAGCTGCCTTTGGCTCGGGTCATGATCCTGGGGTCCTGGGATCGAGCCCCGCATCTGGCTTCCTGCTCAGTGCAGAGCCTGCTTCTCCTTCTCCCTCTGCTTGCCACTCTGCCTACTTGTGCTCTCTTGCTGTCTCTATCAAATGAATAAATAAAATCTTTAAAAAATAATAATAATAACACCCAGTGCTCCATTTAATACGTGCCCTCTTTAATACCCATCACCACACTAACCCATCCCCCCACCCCTCTCCCCTCTAGAACCCTCACTTTGTTTCTCAGAGTCCATCGTCTCTCATGATTCATCTCCCCCTCCGATTTCCCCCCCTTCATTTTACCCTTGCTACTATCTTCTTTTTTTTAACATATATTGCATTATTTGTTTCAGAGGTACAGATCTGTGATTCAACAGTCTTGCACAATTCACAGCGCTCACCATAGCACATACCCTCCCCAATGTCTATCACCCAGCCACCCCATCCCTCCCACCCCCCACCACTCCAGCAACCCTCCGTTTGTTTCCTGAGATTAAGAATTTCTCATATCAGTGAGGTCATATGATACATGTCTTTCTTTGATTGACTTATTTTGCTGAGCATAATACCTTCCAGTTCCATCCATGTTGTTGCAAATGGTAAGATTTCATTCCTTTTGATGGCTGCATAATATTCCATTGTGTATATATACCACCTCTTCTTTATCCATTCATCTGTCGATGGACATCTGGGCTCTTTCCACAGTTTGGCTATTGTGGACATTGTTGCTATAAACATCGGGGTGCACGTACCCCTTTGGATCCCTACCTTTGTATCTTTGGGGTAAATACCCAGTAGTGCAATTGTGGAGTCGTATGGTAGCTCTATTTTAAGCTTCTTGAAGAACCTCCATACTGTTTTCCAGAGTGGTTGCACCAGCTTGCATTCCCACCAACAGTGTAGGAGGGTTCCCCTTTCTCTGCATCCCCACCAACATCTGTCATTTCCTGACTTGTTAATTTTAGCCATTCTGACTGGTGTCAGGTGGTATCTCATTGTGGTTTTGATTTGTATTTCCCTGATGCCAAGTGATGTTGAGCACTTTTTCATGTGTCTGTTGGCCATTTGGATGTCTTTGGAAAAATGTCTGTTCATGTCTTCTGCCCGTTTCTTGATTGGATTAATTGTTCTTTGGGTGTTGAGTTTGGTAAGTTCTTTATAGATTTGGGATACTAGCCCTTTATCTGATATGTCATTTGCAAATATCTTCTCCCATTTTGTCAGTTGTCTTTTGGTTTTGTTGACTGTTTCCTTTGCTGTGCAAAAGCTTTTTATCTTGATGAAGTCCCAATAGTTCATTTTTGCCCTTGCTTCCCTTGCCTTTGGAGACATGTCTAGCAAGAAGTTGCTCCGGCCGAGGTCACAGAGGTTGTTGCCTGTGTTCTCCTTTAGGATTTTGATGAGCTCCTGTCTCACATTTAGGTCTTTCAACCATTTTAAGTCTATTTTTGTGTGTGGTGTAAGGAAATGGTCCAGTTTCATTCTTCTGCATGTGGCTGTCCAATTTTCCCAACACCATTTGTTGAAGATACTGTCTTTTTTTCCACTGGACATTCTTTCCTGCTTTGTCAAAGATTAGTTGACCATAGAGTTGAGGGTCCATTTCTAGGCTTTCTATTCTGTTCCATTGATCTATGTGTCTGTTTTTGTGCCAGTACCATACTGTCTTGATGATGACAGCTTTGTAATAGAGCTGGAAATCCGGAATTGTGATGCCACCAGCTTTGGTTTTCTTTTTCAAGATTCCTCTGGCTATTCGGGGTCTTTTCTGGTTCCATACAAATTTTAGGATTATTTGTTCCATTTCTTTGAAAAAAGTGGACGGTATTTTGATAGGGATTGCACTGAATGTGTAGTTTGCTCTAGGTAGCAGTGACATCTTCACAATATTTGTTCTTCCAATCCATGAGCATGGAACGTTTTTCCATTTCTTTGTGTCTTCCTCGATTTCTTTCACGAGTATTTTATAGTTTTCTGAGTACAGATTCTTTTCCTCTTTGGTTAGATTTATTCCTAGGTATCTTATGGTTTTAGGTGAGATTGTAAATGGGATCGACTCCTTGATTTGTCTCTCTTCTGTCTTGTTGTTGTTGCCACTGATTTCTCTGCCTTGATTTTATATCCTGCCACTTGACTGAATTCCTGTATGAGTTCTAGCAGTTTTGGGGTGGAGTCTTTTGGGTTTTCCACATAAAGTATCATATCATCTGCAAAGAATCAGAGTTTGACTTCTTCTTTGCTGACTCGGATGCCTTTTATTTCTTTTTGTTGTCTAATTGCTGAGGCTAGGACTTCTAATACTATGTTGAATAGCAGTGGTGATAGTGGACATCCCTGCCGTGTTCCTGACCTTAGGGGAAAAGCTCTCAGTTTTTCCCCATTGAGAATGATATTCGCTGTGGGTTTTTCATAGATGGGTTTTATGATATTGAAGTATGTACCCTCTATCCCTATACTCTGAAGAGTTTTGATCAAGAAAGGATACTGTCCTTTTTCTGCATCTATTGAGAGGATCATGTGGTTCTTGTTCTTTCTTTTATTAATGTATTGTATCACATTGATCGATTTGTGGATGTTGAACCAACCTTGCAGCCCAGGGATAAATCCCACTTGGTTGAGGTGAATAATCCTTTTAATGTACTGTTGGATCCTATTGGCTAGTATTTGGTGATGTTCATCAGGGATATTGGTCTGTAATTCTTTCTGATAGGGTCTTTGTCTGGTTTTGGGATCAAGGTAATGGTGGCCTCATAAAACGAGTTTGGAAGTTTTCTTTCCATTTCTATTTTTTGGAACAGTTTCAGAAGAATAGGTATTAATTCTTCTTTAAATGTTTGGTAGAAGTCCCCTGGGAAGCCATGTGGCCCTGGGCTTTTGTTTGTTTGGGAGGTTTTTGATGACTGCTTCAATTTCCTTAGTGGTTATAGGTCTGTTCAGGTTTTCTGTTTCTTCCTGGTTCAGTTTTGGTAGTTTATACATCTCTAGGAATGCATCCATTTCTTCCAGATTATCTAATTTGCTGCCATAGAGTTGCTCATCATATGTTCTTATAATTGTTTGTATTTCTTTGGTGTTGGTTGTGATATCTCCTCTTTCATTCATGATTTTGTTGATTTGGGTCATTTCTCTTTTCTTTTTAGTAAGTCTGGCCAGGAGTTTATCAATCTTATTAATTCTTTTAAAGAACCAGCTCCTCGTTTCGTTGATCTGTTCTACTGTTCTTTTGGTTTCTATTTCATTGATTTCTGCTCTGATCTTTATTATTTCTCTTCTCCTGCTGGGTTTAGGCTTTATTTGCTGTTCTTTCTCCAGCTTCTTTAGGTGTAGGGTTACATTGTGTATTTGAGACCTTTCTTTGTTTCTTGCGAAAGGCTTGTATTGCTATATACTTTCCTCTTAGGACTGCCTTTGCTGTGTCCCAAAGATTTTGAACAGTTATGTTTTCATTTTCATTGGTTTGCATGAGTTTTTTTTAATTCTTTAATTTCCTGGTTGACCCATTCATTCTTTGGTAGGATGCTCTTTAGCCTCCATGTATTTGAGTTCTTTCCGACTTTCCTCTTGTGATTGAGTTCTAGTTTCAAAGCATTGTGGTCCGAAAATATGCAGGGAAT